ATCCAATGAGCACCCCCCTCCGGACCCCCCACCTAAAACAATAAACCCATTCTGATGACTCTGAGTTCTGGCTCGTTACTGCTTTGACTACAAAGATTTTTTTTATTTTAGCTCTGATGAAGGGCTATCCAATGAGCACCCCCCACCCCCACTGGACCCCCATCCAAAACAAGAACACACCCATGAGCATTAATGTTAATGAGCATAAAAAAAACTGTAAACATATGCGTCACACGGAAGATATGGAATTTTATCTTTTGTGATTGGTTTAGTATCAGCTTGTCTTTCTTCTTCCTCTATAAAATTTCCACATTGTTACAGATTCGTTATCTACAGCCCAGACCGTCTTCAACTGGATTTTCCAGATCACCCAGACTACATCTACTTCCTTTTCATTTTTGTGCCACAAAAACGTGCACACATACAATATCCGTGCGCACATACAACAGCAACAGTAGCGTTTATGTCAGCAATGGAATATCATTAGCATATATTTCCCTCTCTGCAACCAGAACTCATGTGATTTATGGTTTTGGGACTTCCTCAGTTCTGCAGCCTAGCTTTGCATTTACCAACAAGCACACTTGTGTTGCCTCAGAGAGGAGTGCCACTGGTTTGTACAGCGGTGAACCCTTTAGTTAGTTTCACAAGTGGCAGCTACATTAATGACACAAATGTGATGAATGAAATTTATTACAGAACATACAAATTTCTCAAAAAATGCCCCAGTCTGACATGTGGAGACATAACACTGCTTGTATAACAGGTGCTTGTTTCCCAGATTTCTCAGGCGAGTACACTTACTGATTAAATCCAGGCGTAGCCTATCTACTGTATGTGGACAAACCACCCACATACTCTGCATAAGAACTTCTATAAATGAGCAGGATACAACACGGTGCACACTTTACAAGGCTGGAGCTGAAGGTGTTCAGGATGGATAAAAGCTGCTGGAAACTGGCCCAGGTTGTTCTGGTGATGTTAATCAGCATCAACGCTGAAGGTAACCACACATTTGTTTTTCCCGAGTAAATCACATAAATGAAACTATTACATGTTAAATGTGAGTTAGTCTTTGAAAAACGGATGTATGTTAACTTAGCTATTGTCTCATTCATGTTTTCTTCATGTTTACTGAATGAAACGTTGGGTTGATGAAAGGTGTGGACTTTGTTTAGAAGACAGAAATTATTTTTCTGCAAAGCTATGCTGTCGGAACTTGCACAGAATGTGGTTTGGCATCATCTTACTTTATTAACTGCACTCTTTGCAGGATAGTAATGCTCCAAAACCTCCATAGCATTAAGCCTTAATGGGTTAGGTTCAGAATGCACTACAATGGACACCAGCCTTTGAACTGTTATTATACCAGCTTGAACTGTGAGCTAATGACTCTAAAAAACACAACTTTTAAGGTTATCTGAAATAAATATTTCATTTTAAGGGGAGGGAATGGTAATATGC